TATACACGATGGCATTGGGTGATGGGGGTATTAAGCCAAACGTTTCAACATTTGGGGCCGACCAATTCGACAGCCGATCGGCTGAAGGAAAAAGAGCCATGGAATCATTTTTTAACATTTTTTATGCGGCTATCAACTGCGGGGCCTTGATTAGCTTTACTCTGGTTGTAAGTATCACTCAGTACGGAGTCTCTTGGATAGGCGGCATGGACTATCGGTTCTCAGTGGGCTTCAGTGTCGCAGCAATAATAACTACATGTGGAATCGCTATTTTTCTTTTCGGCCGCCACCGTTATACAAAATTGCCGCCCTCAGGAAGTGTGTTAGCCAGGTCTTTGAGTATTCTGTTGCAAGCTGCGCGCAAAGGCTACGGGCATTGGCGCGGAAGTCGACGATCGGCATTTTCGGAAAGCCACCGCGGCGATATTAGTAATGGCGACCATGCAAATATTGGCACTGTACCCTTGTTGCCATCAGCGCCACCGCCCTTTTCCTCGCAATTAGGAAGCCCAGCATTACCCTGGTTAGACAGAGCTAAACGGTCAAATGGCGGGTCTTTCGCGGCCGCAGATGTGGAGGGCGTGAAATGCGTGTGGCGGCTGCTGCCGTTTTTACTCTTTCTGATCCCGTATTGGACGTGTTATACGCAGGTTAGAACCCAATTCTACCCCAGAAGTCAGATTGCGTTTTGTGACTGTCTTAGCTTGTTTTGGGGCCTCTCTCTGTGTATTCGCCTGACTAATGCCATCGTTTAAAACCCTCACATCCATTTTTTCTCGGGTGGCAGATGAGCACATCCTTTCAGAACCAGGGCTGTCAGATGGACCTCTCCCTCAAACCTTTTTTTCCCGCCACAAAGATCGCGGTCTCCACGCTTAATCTGTTCGATACCCTCGGCATCATTCTCCTTGTGCCCTTATTCGACCGCGTTGTTTATCCCTTTTTTGAACGGCGTGGTCAGCCTCTGACGCAACTTCAGCGTTTCGGCGCGGGTTTTGTCTTCGCGGCTCTCGCGATGGGAACTGCGGGTGTCCTTGAGCTTTATCGCAAGTCGCAAAGTCCTGTAGAAACAAAATACCCTACCGACGCCGACGATATGACTACTGTACATTTTTTGGAGGAGCATATTTCTGCATGCAAGAACATCGACGACTACAACCCTCTTGCTTATCAGTCCTGGTTTGCCGCTGGGGCCGCTGCTTCCGGTAGACCCCCTCCATCGGCTTGCGCGAAAGTTGGTCCAACCTATTCCAACGGGACACTCCCCTTGTCATCTATTGAGTGTGACTTTGTGCCCCTGATCTCACATGTTAGCGTGTTTTGGCAGATTCCGCAGTTTATCTTGGTCGGTATTTCTGAGATTCTGACGAGTATCACGTCCTATGCCTTCTTTTACGCGCAAGCCCCTCCGAATATGCGAAGTTTCTCGGCCTCTTTGAATCTTTTGACCACCGCCCTCGGCACATGGTTGTGCATCCCCCTTGTTGCCCTAGCGAATTCGGGAAAGGTGCAGTGGGTTCCCAGCGACGTGAACAAGGGCAACCTGGCGGCATTTTTTTTCATGCTTGCTGGTATGATGGCATGCATGATTGTAGCATTTTTTTTCCACGCACGGAAATACAAGCCTATTTCCCACTTTGATGGGATTGACAGCAATTGAGTAGTTTTGAATCTTTTTCCTCGGTCTGGAAAAGATACTAATGAAAACCGCCACAGTTTTTCCCACGCTACGGAGCTTTTCAGGCGCATGACCTGGCGTATAAATTGTATAAATTGGTAAAATTTAATAGATTGTATAGTTGTAGTATGGCAGTATAATCACATGAAATCAATATTGACTGCTTTTGTCAGATAGCTCAGCTGTTAACCTTCTGCACATAAAATTACATGATTATAGCCACAAAGCTCGTTGTCCCAAACCCCTGTTGCAGTACGAGCTCGTTTTTTTCCGCCTTGATGACCTTGCAGTGTCGTAATCTAATTAAATCAAAGTGTATGTCGTCAGTCGAGCAGCGTGGTTTCTTTCCGGGGGGAAGGACGGGGCACGTTAACTACTGTCGCCTATTTTACAAGTGTTCAGATTGACACTTTTTGCACTGTGGTATCTATCTTTCACGTCTGCCACAGTCTTGCCCTACAACTCCAAAGTCAGACTTGGAAAGCCCCTAAGGAATGAATTTCACAGGCAAGAACAGGAATTTCTCATAGAATGCCGCAACAAGGCGGACTTCCCAAAGTTTCTCATCAGTTGCCGACCTCGTCCGCGGTGCCTCTCCCTTCTTACCTCGAGCAAATTGCTGTCAACCTCTCCGTCATGCCTGTACTGCTTTCGTATGTACTCGTCATTCCACCTAAGGCGTTCGCATGCGACCAATAAAATGGCTTTCCACTCGAGCAAAAAGCTGTCAAGTTGTTAACAGGAAGGACTCTTCCTTTTCTTTTTCAAGTCTGGGAGGGAGAAAAAAATGAACCCCACTGACCATCCACGGCAAAACACATGTGTTGATCTTAGTAAAGCAGCCTCAGAAAACACAAGCTTATATTCATTATAACCTGTGTATTTACTCTGAAGAGTAAAGTCAAAGGATGAGGCTCTTATACGCATGCCAGATGATAAAACTCGCGATACCCCCCCGCAGGCGCCGGTCGGCGAGTCGGATCCGTTTGAACGTTTGAACCCGCCACCTTAACTCCTCCCTTGCCCTGCACGCCCTCCCGTGGCGGCCACGCTCTTCTTTCCTGACTTCCTCTTCCCCTCGCACGCTTTACTACAGGAGAGCAGGGCAGCGGTGTACTATCGCAGCATGTGCTGAGCCCGAACAGACGTACGCAACTCTCATATGAAGAGGAAAGTCCTGGCCGATCAGCAGCGGATTACAGGAAAAGGGGACGGAGAGCTCCACAGTGGAAAAATGCGGAAGACCACCAAGGCAATCGATAACAACCGCCAGCCCTTAAGTACCCGGCCCCAGCGCGGAAATGGCCCTAAGACACGTTTTGGTTTTGTTATTCCACCAGCAGGTGCAGAAAATCCTGCGGCTGCCATTGAAAGCACGCTGCAACCGGCGGTGGCCAAGCCGCTGAAAGCCCACACCATCAAAGGCGCTGGCGTGGTTATTCCCCGTCGACGTATCGCCGCCGAAAAGAATGGAATTGAAAGTAATTCTGCCGCTGGAGCAGCGGCTGGGACGACCAAGGCGGGAGAGTTGGTGCCGGTTGAGGAGGAAGAGGTGTATCAGCAGCAGCGCGAACAAGAGGAAATGATTAGTGCTATCGAGGAGCTCGCCTCCCATGCCTTCGGAGAAGAGGAGGAGCGGACAAAGGTGGAGAGTTTGGCAAGGGGTAAGCTTACATTGAGCAATAAATGGGACTACAAGGAGAAAATCGCCAAGCGCGACGACGTTATTCGGGCTCTCCGCCAAGGTTTCGCTGGCCTCCTCACGCACAAAGAAGAATTTGTGCAGGCGGCCGTGGAGATTGAGATGAAGCTTCGAACGGAGTTGCGCACCGCTCGTATCGCGCAGGCCTTAGTGGCGGACTTAAAGGCGCGCAATCGGACAGTTGAAGGCCAGGTGGAGGCCCTGCGCGCTGAGTGCGAATCGGCCCTCAAGCAAGCAGCTACCCAAGCAGAGGCAGCGGAGACCAAGGATCTGGAAATGGAGAGGCTCAAATCCAACCTGGACGAAAGTCAAAGCGCATTGGAGAAGAGCAAGAATGATGCCGCCGCTGCCGAATTCGCCAAGGCTGAGGTAGCTGGGGCGATGGAGAGGCAGCTTGCTGAGACCCGGGCGGTAAACGAAGGTTTGAGCGGCGAATTGAGCGAGACCAAGATCGCATTAGAAGGCGTGCGAGTGGAGAGAGACGACTTGAAGGAAATGAAAACAGCGCTCGAGATAGAGGTGGCAGAATTTTCAGGGACTTTGAAGGAAGTGCAAGGCCGCTCGGCGGTCGAGGCGAAAGAACGCGAGCGCTTGGAGGCAGAGAGTGTCAGACTGGGAGAGGAACTCAAACAATTGCGAGAAACCCTGGCTGTGCGGCAAGATGAGCTGGCTCAAACCCGTTTGGAGGCAGAAAGACGCTTGAGCGAGGTGCAGCAGGAGCTTATCGGGAAGGAGGCCATGAGGCGGGAGAGCGAGGTCGCTAGGAGCGCAGCAGAGGCAGAAACTATGGCGCTGAAAACCAAGCTAGAGGACACCCAGAAAATTCTGGAGGATAAAAACAAGGAACTTTTCATGGCCTTGAAGTCCTTTGCAGATATGCAACTGTCCGCGCAAGAACGAGAGGGGGAGCTCCGGCAGGCCGGGAAGGACGGGGAGGAGCGCGTACTGCGTGCTGAAGCGAAAGTGAGCGATCTGGAGGGGGAAATGAGCCGATTGCGGACCGAAATGGCAGCAAGCATTGGAGAAGGCACAGCCCTGAAGGTGGAGCTGGCGTCCAAGCGGGAGGAGGCCAAGGCCCACTTAAGCGCCGCTCAGGAAGCGCAAGCCGCCTTGCAAGAACTCCGAGCCTCCCTGGCTGTGGAGAAGGAGCTGCGATCGCGGGCCGAGGGGAAGGAGGCGGAAGAGCGGGAAGAGCGCGTGGCTGCAAATGCTCAGTTGCTGGCCATGCAGCAGGCCCATGGGACAGAGATGGAAAATCAACGTGCGGAGAAGATGGAGGCCGTCAAGGAGTGGGAGCGCCGCGCCCAGGATGGCGAGCAAGAACGAGAGAGGCTTCTGCGGGAGAATCGTGACGCACAGGAAGCGGCGTTGACCCTAGAAAGTGAGCTGAAGACCTTACGTCGGGCTCTTGAGGATGCAGAATCTCGAACCGAGCAGCTTCAGGAGCTGGCGCAGATCTCTGGTGAGGCTGAGGTCCTGCGGCGTCGTTTGCTGGAGGCGGACAGGGACCGGGAGATGGGCGCGGAAAAGTACCGACAGCAGGTGTCGGACCTGGAGAAAGCCGTGCAGGAGGGCGAGCTTCAGCGACGAAAAATGCACAACCTGATCCAAGAACTGCGAGGCAACGTGCGCGTGTACGCCCGCGTGCGACCATTTTTGCCCTCAGATCAAGTCGACGCTTCCGCTCAGCACTGCATCAACGTGAGCGCGCATGACGACAGCCTCGCCATCTTGAAAAAGGACGGGAGCAGCGATGGAAATGTCTTGGAAAGCCATGGATTCACTTTTGACCGTTGCTTTCCCCCCTCAGCGGGGCAGGAAGTGATTTTTGCTGAGGTGTCAGAATTCGTGCAGTCCGCGCTCGACGGCTACAACGTCTGCCTCTTCTCCTACGGCCAGACAGGCTCCGGCAAGACGCACACGATGCAGGGCTTCGGGTCGGGGCCCATGAAAGGGATCATTCCCCGTGCGATGGAACAGGTGGGGCGGTACAAGAAAATGCTGGAGGCTCAAGGCTGGGTATATGAGATGGAGGTCTCTTTCATTGAGATCTACCAGGAGCAGATCCGAGACCTGCTGCGGAGCCTTGCAACCCCCAACGGAGGAGCCGGAGAGGAGAGCACCAGCACCACGCATGACATCAAAAAGGACGGAAAGGGGAACATGTTTGTGACGGATGTGGCGATGATCCTGCTCGACCCTAACGACCCTCAGGCTGTGCAGCGCATAATGGACGTTGCAGGCCGGCACCGATCTGTAGGGGCGACGTCCATGAACGAGCGAAGCTCTCGTTCCCACTCCGTTTTCACACTCCACATGCGTGCATCCAATAAAGAGCGACGCTCCCAGCTCAGTGGGAAGCTGAACCTTTGTGATCTGGCGGGCTCGGAGAGGTTAAGCCGGTCGAACGCAACGGGGGAGCGGCTCAAAGAAACACAGGCGATCAATAAGAGCCTAAGTGCTCTCACAGACGTTTTCGTGGCCATCGCCAACAAGCAGGCACATGTGCCCTACCGCAACAGCAAACTGACCTACCTGTTGCAGCAATGTCTTTCGGGGGACGGGAAGACCCTCATGATGATCAATCTCTCTCCCACCGAGCAGTCCTACTTCGAGTCTTTGTGCACACTGCGTTTCGCCAGCCAGGTCAACAAGTGCGAGCTCGGGCAAGCCCGTCGGAACCTCCATATGGTTGGGCAAGACGGAAGTAGCTTCGCCAGCGCGGGGGGACCCGGGGCGACGACTAGCACCCTGAGCAGGGCCTCGACACTGACGTCGGCGACAGCCTCATCGTCTTCCCGACTTGCTAAGCGGTAACGATGAGACAGAGATTGCAAAAAACGGCCGTGCAAGTGAGAGGCAGAGGTGAAATTCAACATCTTATGGCTACTGTAATAATAAAGGCTTTGTGGCAAAAGTATTCGTTAGTGATGGTGGAGGCCTGAAGTTTAAACTCCCAAGGACCATGCAACCAGGAAATAGCATAGAAATGGCAGAGATGAAAAAGCGAATGTTCACGGAAGCACAAAGTGGTTGTCTTTATCCCATACGAATATTGAGCTATTGAAAAATAAATTCTTTGGAAATGTACATTCTGTCGTCTGCCATCAAAATTCCGGACGGTGCATGTATCACTTTTTTTTTTCCTTCTTCGCGATGGACTCCTTTGTAACGCCTCGATCCAACGCATCCATCCTCCTTTCCTTGCGGCGCTCCTCAGGATTATAAGTCACCTCTCGCACGAAGCCCTTGCCCTCGTGCGCCTTCAACCTCTTCAATTTTCCACGCTTCCCAGTCACCGTCACGCCCGGCCTCTCACCCGTCCCTTCTGACGTCACCTTTGAGCGCTTTACCCTCTCGGAAAGAGGGAGACTCCTCTCTTCCAGACGCGCTTTGGCGCCCGCTTTCCGCTCGTGATCATGCAGAAGCATGGCACGCCCGCTCTCGCCTACCCCCTCCGCCTCCATAAATCGCGGCCGCCGGACCTCCCTCTCCTTGGCTTGCGGGCCTGACGGGCGCGGAGGCCCCTGATTTTCCGAACGGAGGCTTCTCTCGCGGCCTGTCACCCCCGATATCCCAGACAGGTACGGCACCTCGTTCTCATCACTCTCCTCTCCGCCATCATCACCTCCCCCCTCTCCTCCAATCCCCTCCACCTCCCGGAAGTGGCTCTGCACGACGGCCAAGTCGTCGTCCGATCCCTCCTCGTCTGACCCCTCCCGCCGACCGCGCCGTCTCCTCCCCCCCGGGACGGCCGCCACGCCGTTCGGGTTCCGCAGCTTGAACTCCTCCGACTCCTCGTCCACCTGGAAGTCCGAGCGCGTGAAGAGGCTCGCGAACCGGTCGTCTCCCAGGGGGTTGACTGCCTCCGCGCCGGCCGCGATCCTCCCCTCGCCCCCCGAATCCTCTTCCGCACGCTCACCCCCCTTCCCGCTGCCTCTCGTTTTCAAGAGCCGCTCAGCCAGTGCCCGATTGACGGCGGGCAGGGCTTTCTGGAAGGAGATGCGCGCGCTCCGCCGGGCCTCCAGACGCTCCCTGACGCGGGCCTTACGCCACTCGTCGTACGCGGCCGGTTGACTCACCGCCCGGAGCTTGGCGTGGAGGCCTGCGTCCATGAAGAAGCCGTGCATATAGCCCCGAAGCAGGGGCGTCCCTATCAAATTGCTCCCGTTCAGCTCCTCCAGCTCCTCTCGGCTCACAAACTTGTAGTCATCGTAGATCGATGCCGCCCCCCCCCCGGCCCCAGCT